TAGCTCAAGAGGTGGGGTTTTCTAGCCCCAGCAAATTGCAGCTGGTGAAGATAGAGACAATCAGTGGCAGAGTTGTTACCTAATAATGTTCACGGTGGCCAGAATCAAAACAACACAGAACAGACATCAAAAACCTAAAGCTTCCCAACTAATGTGTGAGAGTAGTACACACATACTATGCAAGCAAATTCTTTAAGTTGTCAAGTGATTTTGGTTTTTCTTTCTTTCTTTCATTATTCTGTTTTTCTTGTTTTTTCTTTCCCAGCTTCTCAAATTTTTTGCAAGCTAACAACAGCAAAATCTTATTTGTCTGGCAACTTGATCTCAACACTAGGAAACACATTTCCAGTCTAGAATATGATATAAGAATGTGTCATCACAATTTTCCTCCCTTTTTAGAACATATATTTTTTTACCCTTTTAAAACCATTAAATTAATACAGTAATAATATTACCCAAGTACTAGGAAGGGGGAATGGGACAGCAGAACCCAAGCGCCGCCTTATTTTCTATATATTTTTCATTGTGTATTTTGTTTTGTTTGTGAGATTTCTTTTATATAGTTGATTTTAATTTAATTATTACTCTATGATATTTGAAAAAAAAATTATCTCAATATAAATCATAAATAAATTAATCTATTTAAATATGACAGAATATGCTTAATTATGTGTATTGCACGGATCAAATTAATTTTTTTTAATATTTTATATTTTTTTCTATCTTATTGATGTCTTAATATTAATTTATATTTAATTTTTTATTTAACATGAAATTATTTATTACAAAATATTTATATTTAATTTAAATTTTATATACCTATATACAATATGTATGAATAATTCAAAAAGAATATTAAAGAAAAAATCAATACTCAACATAATTAATTTATGTATTTTATTCTTAATCCAATCACAACATATTTATATTAAATATTTTAAATAAATTTTGTGTAGTTCTATTTCTACATATTTTTATTTCCAAATAAATATAAAAATAAAATTTAAATTAAATAATTAGATTCACTTTTAGTTTTGGAAAAATTAATGAAACATCCCTCTCCAACTTTGGGTAGTTGGAGAGGTCCAATATGTTTTTTTTTTTTTTTTATTAACTAAGGTCCCTTGAAGAAATTTTTCTGTGAAATCAAATAAATTTCTCTATAAAAATTGAAATTTCTCTATGATAAAACTAAGAATATTAAAATAAATATTTTAAATTTAAATTTTATTTTAAATTAAAATTAAAATTATTTTTTTCTAACACCATATCGTAATAGAAAATATCATTACATTAATTAAAGTTAACGTCATTGTGATTTAATTTCAGACATCATTTTCTAGAAGTGATTTATATGCATGTGTAGCATCCAATTTGAAATTGATTAATTAAAATAATAGAACTCAATACTTTTTTGTTAATTTTTTAGAAAATAAATTGGCAAATGTCAAATGATAAATAGTATGGAGTATTATTTTAAAAAATAATAATTCACCGAAAATGATGTACATATTTAAGGCACCTATTGATGTTTATTGAATAATTTTTACATAAAAATTTTGAATTTATAGTATTACTGATAATGCACCTTCATGACCTCTGTCAGAAAAAAAATATGCAAAAATAATTTGGCTAGAATAAAAAAAATTATGATTACTATGATGTGTCATATAATTAATCAGAACCTTTTTAAGAACTGAAATTATTAAGGTTATATAGATTTTGTGTCTGATTCTCTTTGAGGATACTATTTATGATTCGAATTTGTAATTTTTTGTACATCAATGTGAATAACTCTTATGATCTTACTGATATAAGCATAAATTATACATTTAAGTCAACCCACCTTAAGTATTTTTTCGTGTAATAAAATACTTAAATATTGTCATATAAAAGTATTATAATAGATCATAATCAAACACCACTTAAAATATAATTAAAGATCCGATACATCATTTAGACATAACTAAAAACATAAGAAATTAGCAAAAAAGTTTTTGATTAATAACCAAAATAATACACCATGAATTATAACCAAGTCATAATTTATATATTATAGAAATCATCGTTGTTTTTATTTTTTTCAGAAAAAAAATATTTTGATACAAGTGAAATTCATGACACAAATGAGAATTTGATTTCAAGTTAAGAATATATCTTCTTCTTTTTTTTTAATTTTGAAAGAAATTGTTTTTATAAGCTTATTTTATATAGAATCACTTACAGTGATAAATTTTTTTTTTATCAATTGTTAATAAATCTGTTTGTATTTAACTTTCAATTATTAAAACTTTCTACATATAAAATATTAAAGTATAAAATTTATTTTTATTTTAAAAATAAATTCCCAAAGACATCGCACCAGTCACTTACTAGTTGAAGAAGAAAGATAAGACACCTCCAACTCATGTAAGCTCCACATGGCATTAGTGCACGACATTAGTGCCTTTTCTTACCAAACAAATAATCAAATGTTTCGTATGAATAAGGAATTTACTCTTATATCCATAATTCCCATGTGTACGTGTTAATAAGTTAGTTAAATCCCTATATTTTATTACATGTGACATTTATGATTAAGAGTAATTTGGAGTTTGTGAGACATTGATATTTATATATATTAATTTTTATTTCTTTAACTTGTTTAAAGGAGCTGTTGAATATGGATGACGGACAAATAGTTGGAGCTCAGCCTTAGAATATGTCATACATGGTTGGGTTGGGTTGGGTTGGGTTGGGTTGAGTTGGGTTGGGTTAATTTAATCTCAAATGGAGCGGTTTACTTACCCTCTCATTTAAAAAATACCCTCTTTAGTTCAACCACCACAAAACCAGGGGACAATGAACATGACTTTTTTTTTTTTTTCTCTTCAAGGAATAGTCAAACAAATTGCTCAACATATGATGATATATTGTGGACACTTGTCCATTACTTTTCTTTGATTTATTCGTGCTTCTTTTCTTTTTATTTATTTATTTTTTTGTTTCTTTAGACAGTATGTAAATATGTTGATGAACTAGTCTTATTCACAAATCGTTATCAAAATACAAAAAAAAATAATAACATGAATATGGAGGAGTCTACTCATATGAAGAAGAAAAAAATATATCAAGAAAATACATTTATGTTGTGTTTGGTTGGGGGATTTGGAGAGGGATTTGGAAAGTGAAATGGAAAAGGTAGGTGAAATGTGAATAAAATATGTATATATTTCACATAGTTTCACACACTTTTTCCCTTTCCCTTTCCAAATCCCTCCCCAAATCCTCTAACCAAACACACCATTAGAATAATGTTATAATGATGTTTTCAAGATGATCTCAGTTCAACTACTTTTTACTTTTTTTTATTTATTTATTTTTTTGTATATAACAGTTTTAGACGGCGAAGCACGGATGCCTTGTGACTTTGTCTTGCTTTGGTTTGCAAAACACCGCGTATTGCGTCTGGGTAAGCGTGGAAGCTTCCAAGGGATATCAAGTTTGACAAGCTTCCCCATTTAATAACCTGAAAACAAAAATCTTATCTACTCATAATTTCTGTAAACTAATAAGTTTATCATATCATACTAATTCTGAATTTATACCATATCTCATGAATTAGCACTTTTTGATTAAAATTATGGGTATCTGATTGAAAATTACAATATAAAATTATAATGCTTGGTCAAAATTTTAGGTCTCAAGTTTTTTAGTTAAAAATATATCTTAAATTATGCAAGAAGACTACGAAAATTGGAGTTGGTCTTATATAAGTTTGCTTACCTAGAATATGTATTCAAAATTTTCCTTAAAAAAATTGTTTGTTATTACTGAATTGATTCTTATATGATAGAGTTCGCACTTACAATAAATTTGAGTTATATACAATTTTTTTTAACTAAAATTTTGAACATTTTTTCTGAGTGCTTAATACATATAACAAAATAGCCGAAGTACAACAAAAAAGCCGAAGCACTTCCCTTCAAAATGAAAAGCATTCAATTTTTATGTTTTTTTTTTTTTGAGAAAGTTATATTCAATCAAGTATGATTTTAATAATAGACTTTTTATTTTTTAAATAAATTTAATCTAAATATAGGATTATCGATATCTGATCAATTTAATTTTTTTTTTTTTTTTATGATGGCCAAATCATAGGACAATAAAAGTTGAACAATTTAAATCACCAAAATAAATCCAAAAATGGACACAAATTATCTTAAATTAAACCCTTCAGTTTTGTTAGAGTGATTTTTTATATAATTAAGATTTAATTTTATAAAAATTAAATGTACAACAATACAAAAAGATCACTCTAAAAAATGGGGATAGAGGAAGGAGAAGTTCACTGCCATGCTCCCTTTTAAAATGTCATGAGATCAGGTCCCCTTGCTTGACTAGTCAGAAAAAATGATTATATGTATGTATGATATTTATTAAGATGATATTATATGTCATGAGATCAGGTCCCCTTGCTTGACGAGTCAGGAGTTCTTATTTTTATCAATTTATTTATCATTTATCTGACATTTTAAATTTAAAAATAATAATATTAAGATGATTATGTATGAAATAAATTTTAATTATCAGGTAATGTATTAACACATTAATAAACAAATCTAATTGATGAAAACTAGTATTAAATATATATATAAAATAAATTTTATTAAATTAATACAATAATGACACATAAAATATAAATAAAATATATAATATTTATTACAAAAATACATAACAATTCAAAAACATATAGCTACCAGGTGTGTATGATATACACGTTTCCTTTGACACTGAAACTTGAGAACATGAAATCCATATATCTTGAAACGCCCGTTAAACGGACTCTGGATACACACGCATTGAAAATCAAGATTAACACATGTGAAAACTCCCCCATACAAAATGTCCTAGAAAGTGACTCATCATCTACCGCTCTTTTCTTATTAAACCAAAGTCAATATAGGAAGCTACACACACACGACTTTTACATAAAATGCACACAACAAGCCTGCCTTCATTTTTAACCCTATATTAATCCCAACAAAGAAATAACAAATTAAAACACAAACAACACCAAAAGCTTTGCCATTGCATTGCATTGCATTGCATGCTCTTCAATTTCATCATCAATGGCAGACCATCAGAAGATCCATCCAGTCCACCATGACGCCGAAGCACCGCCACCACCACCCACGGCTCCTCTCGTGCCGCCAGGCACTTCGAAATCCGATAACGGCGATCCAGCGGTCGAGCAATACCGACCGTTCCGCCGCACTATTCCGGTGGTCCACTCAAAACCACCAAAGCGGCGGAGCTGCTGTTGCAAGTGCTTCTGCTGGACCACCCTCCTCCTCTTCCTCATCATCATCATCATCGGCATCATCGCTGCCATCGTATACTTCGTGTTCCAACCCAAGATTCCAAAATACTCAGTCGACAGCTTGCAAATAACCCAATTCAGCCTCAATGGCGTGAGTTTATACGCCACGTTCAACGTCAACATCACCGCCACCAACCCAAACAAGAAGATCGGAGTATACTACGAAAACGGTAGCAAAATAACCGTGCTTTACACCGGGACCGAGCTCTGTCAGGGGTCGTTGCCGGTGTTTTATCAGGGTCACCGGAACACGACAGTGATGGACGTGGCGCTGACGGGGCAGACACAGAATGCCACGGTGATGCTGCAGTCACTGCAGGCGGACCAGCAGGCCGGGCTAGGGATTCCGCTGGATTTGAGGGTGAGAGTTCCGGTGAGGATCAAGCTTGGGTCGTTGAAGCTCATGAAATGGAAGTTCTTGGGTAGGTGTAATCTTGTGGTGGATAGCTTGGTTACTAATAATGTTGTTAGTATTAAGAGTAGTAGTTGTAAGTTTAAGATTAGACTTTGATTTTTTATTTTTTTTTCCCCTTTTATTATCAATTCTTTGGACAGAATCTGATCACCAAACGATTGTGTTTGATTCGCTAATCAGATTCTGTGTACTTAGAATTTTATTTATTTATTTAGAGATATGCTTGTCTTTAATTAAATTGGACTTCTAATATATGATTTTTATGAGAATATTAGTGGGACTTATTGACCCTCTCATGAAAATTAAATTTAGACGTTTAATTCAATCGGAGAGAAGCCGGATTCTTCATTTATGTCTAGCCATTATTACTATTTACATTAGTATTATTATTGTTATTAATATACAGTTTTCTGTATTTTATTTACTTACTGAATAAAACAATTGGAGGATCATAGTTGATTTTTTTCCCTCCATTTTATTATTTGATATACATGAATAAACAATTGGCTACATTTGTAGCCCCCGTCTTCAATTTATTCAGAGTCCAACTTTACTGTTCAAAGTCCAACTTTACTGTTGTATTTTATTAATATTTTGAACATAAATAAATAATATTATGTCACTGTGTGTGTGTATGTATGTACGCATTTACTATTATGTGCATATATAAGCAATATATGGGGGTAATCCAATGCTGCAAATTGGATGGACAAGTTTGCTAAACCCTCTTTTTCTTTTGTTGTTCTGAACGCCGGAACCTTTTTTTCGCAAAATTCTGAGAGCAATTGCTTTGGAATTCCCAGAATAGCTTGGGTTTTTTTTTGTAAAAAATTAATTTGTTCACATATTTTTAGAATAAGTGAATAATATATAAATTTTGATTGGTCCAAAACTGAGTCCTATATCAAAAAAATATATTGAATTAACTCACTTAGACACAATTATTTTTTACAAATAAAAAAATATGTATTACTCACACACTCTTTGCATATGTGAACAAAATTAAACTTGAGTTTTGTATCCTAAGAGCAAAAGGAAGATCGAATCCCAATTATGACTAGGCTTGCCTTGCTCGAAGGGAGGAGGTTGAGCTAGATCACCCAATCCGCTACTATGAATTGATGTTAAGACTATGTGCCTGTTTGGTAGAAATTATAATCAGCTTATTTCAATTTTCAGTTTAATTTAAGCTATTTTGATGTGTTTGGTTTAGCATATAGCTTATAGCTTATAGCTTTTTGGAAGTCAGAAATCAACTTATTCTTTGAGTGGGGCAGGAGATGCTTTAAGAATAAGTCAGAAAACAGCTTATGTTCATAGTTATAAGCTATAAGCTGTTTAGGCATAAGCTATAAGCACTTTCCCACAACTCTACCAAACATGACTATAACAAGTTGATTATATAGTAAATCATTTTCACTTGTCTTAAAAACCTAATAAATTAAAAATATATTTAATTTTGACTTATTTACAAGATGAATTAATCTCAAATGAACACAAGTAATTTTATAGCACATATATGCTTTATTAGGTAAAATATCAGAGAAATTATTTAATAGGATATGTACACCACCCCATCATATGTTGATGTAGTGTGTCAAACTAATAAAATTTAAAGAAAATGACAGTAAACCACGCTACTACCAAGTTATTTAAATTGAGATTAAAAATCAAAATAGTTTCAAAATATGATTAAACTTGTCTTACTATAAACCTATTTGAAACAAGTTGATAACAATTACTCTCTCCGTCCTAAAATAATAGTTCCTTTTGGGGAATCAAATTTTTTTAGTGAGAAATTCTATTTCCACACACTTGATTAACTCAGTGCACATCTTTTCTCAATACACACACCTATTAATTTATTTATTGATTAATTTTATCAATCCACACTAAAAATTACAATTATATCTTTCATTCATAACTATTGTACACATATCACTTAACTCTCATTTCCACACACTTTTGATTTACCCAACTTCCACATTTGCAAAGCCAACCACGGTGAAATCGGTAACTCCCACAGTCACAGTCACAGCCACTGCTATGGCTCGAGTTCTTCAAGCTTCACGGAGATCACTTCTCTCTTCTTGTAGAACCCTAATGCTTCAGTTTCTACAACATCAATTTTCTCACCAACCAAACAAACACATGCCTAATTTTCTCGCCGAACCTCGGACCCAAATGTCGACCAACACCCCCCAAAAATCACCCTTTGAGTCCAACATCATTAGGATACTTCGCAACGACATCCAATACTAATCTGAATACGCCCCTCCCTGCTCGGTAACCTTCCTCCCTTTTGTTTGGTTCTTGAGAAAGTAGAATGAAAAGAAGAGAAAATTTTAAGAGATTTATGATTTTGAGGACCCAATATTTCTTTTTCTGTTTTCCAGCTTTGAGTTTCTAAATGTTCTTATTAATTTGGATTCTTTATTTAGCTTTTGTCATTCCGCATAAAAATGAAGGAATTGGACAATGGTTCATAGTGAATTGATTTTACATTCTTGGTATAAATTGAATTAGCTGAGCTAGTTAAATGGTAAATTGAATATGTTATAGGTACTTGTTTGGTGGGTTAAGAAATGAAAAGAGAAGAAGGAAATTTTGAAAAAAACAAATAGAATTTGAACTTAGATAATGCGAATTTATATTGTAAGTTAATGAAAATCTTGACTCCACTTATTAAAAGTGACAATAAAAGAAAAATTAGGATTTTTTTTTTTTTTTAACCTCAAAAGGTATACATTGAGATTTTTTGTTCTTAAAAGATGTGTATAGAGAATTTTTTTATATATAATATTATGGGTGTTGCTGGATGTTTATTATGGTCATTTTAATTTAGGATATAATTATCATTAAATTAAAATTTCATTAATCTTGTGTTTGGTTGGAGATTTGAAAAAATAAATGAAAAAGATAGGTAAAATATAAATAAAATATACATATATTTTACCTAATTTCACATGCATTTTCTCTTTTTCTTTCCAAATCTCTTCTCAAATCTCCAAACCAAACAGCATAAGTGTGTGGAAATAGAATTTCCCTTTTTTAGTGGTACAATTATTTCATTTTAAAAATATTAATTTTTTAAAATTACCTTTTGATAATATATATTTTTTTGAAAATATCAATTATCATAATTATACTTTTTATATTGTTAATAAATTTAAAAAAATGATAAAATAAAAATTTATATTATTTTAATTCTTAATTTTTGATTTTTTTTAAATATTTTAAGATAATAAAAAATTAATATTTTGAAACGGAAGAGTAATTTTTTAAAAAGGCATGGGGTTCTCGAATTCCTAACAACTCCATCTCAAATTCGCAAGTCATTAATTAAATTCACCAAGTATTACTTATTGTCCATTTAGACAGCGACACGCTTGCACGCTCCTTGTTGAAATCACATACACAGTGTGGGCCGTGTCAAATTTTTCAAAACATTTATTTATTACAAGAATCGAAACCCCGTTGTCTTTCCCTTTCTCTCTTCGTTTTTCATGAAATAAATACGCCAGAAGGGTGCTGTGACGGCTTTCGCGGCTAGGTCCACAAGGACCGAGTTTATTGAATAGTCGCAAATTATATTTGTTTTTCAAAAGTTGGCATAAATTTATTTATTTTATTAAAAAAAAAAAACCTTATTGAAGGCAAAAAAATTTAAAAGAAATTTAATTTTTTTAATTAGATGCCAATCAAAACCTAAATATCCAATTTACCGTCTAATCCACGTACACCATCATCATATATACATATAAAGAAATTATATGGTATATATTGTATATCATATGCAATTCTAATTATAATTTTTATGATATTTGATTATGACTACTTATTAGAATATTAATTATAATTTATTATAATATTAGTTATAATATTATTTTAATTTTGATTTAAATTTTTTTTAATTATACTTTATGTAATATTTAATTTTTTTTTTAATTATAATTCTCATAATTCTCAGCCGTCTTCCTCAGTCGATCTCCGCAACTCAGTCGATCTCCTCAGCCGTCTTCCTACCTCGTCTTCCTCGCCTTCCTCTGTCGATGATCAATAAACTTTTTTGGAGTGCTTTAAGAGGAGGAGCTTCTATTTACATAATAAAAATATCTTCTTACCTTTCTTATATTAAATATTTTTTATTATATTTTTATTCCTATCTAAAATCACTAAAAAATACTCAATATAAAAATTAAAAAATAAATAAATTAAACTCTAATTTTTAATCAACCCACCCTTTACCACCAACTCCATTGACCCATCAACATTGTCGCATCTCCGCTACTATCCTTCTTTTCCTTTCGTCACTTACCGCCACCCGCAACCCATCTCACCATCCACAAGCCCCGCTCATTACCCTGTCCCAGCCCCTCTTTGCCTTACCCTGCCACCTCCAACCTCTACCGTCAACCTCTAGCCCCTCATCCACCACCTTTTTCCCAAGTCTCTCCCTTTTGTCGCCCATGTCACTACCCTTCTACTCTTTTTTCTTCTTCTTCTTTCCCATATCCAATAGCTGGAACGAGTGTCACAGCGATAAAGGGCTGCAAAAGTGGAAGTTGAGTGGGGGAAAACTGCAGGAAGTGGTCATAGGATGGGAAAAGATTGCTGGGTGGTGATAGTAGGATTGGGAGTGCTACTAGGTGGCGGTCGCTGGGTCAAGCAGGGTTGTTGGGTGGTGGTAGAAGAGTGGGGATGTGTTTGGTGCGTGGTGGTCGCGAAGTGGGGGAAAGTCATCCATCATTATGATTAGGGGTATGCGCGGTGCGATTCAGACAGTTTGAGAGTAAAATTATAAACTGAATGGCCGGTTAACGGATTGGCAAATTGCGATTTGATTTGGATGGATTGACGGATTGAAAAATATTCTAATTAATTATCAAGCCTTTACATAATATTTTCCAAATATATAACATAAACTAATTTTACATAATATTTTTCATATATATAACTATTAATTTGTAATAAATTTTACATATTAAATCTCTCTCACTCATTTTTACTTTGATATTTCATTATACGTCAAAAAATATATATGTATTAACTATAGCGGAACGGAGTTAATTCAAAGGCAGATTATAAATTTTGAAGTTTAGACCGCGATTAGCAGATTGAGCAACGGTGCGGATTGATGTGGGTCGGTGCAGTTTTAACGGATCGGACGGCATTTTACACAGCCTTAATTATGATTCATAATTACAAAAATATTATTGTCACATTATTGTGTGTTTTTTATAAAAAAAATTTATATGTTTAGCAATTTTTTTTTTTTTTAATAGCAGTTGCCTTAGACACTGCAAAATGTATCAAAACCCACATCACTGCCATGCTCCCGTCTACATGCACACTACCAAAAAAAACTTCATAGTTAAACTAATCAAACTTCACAAACATTCGGCATGTGCAAAATAAGGGGCATAGGCTATTTGTAACAGGTGCATCACGTATTTCAGTTTCTTGTATTGGCTCATACAACATCCAAATCTTTCTTTTCTAAATCCAATTCAAATAGCTTATTCATCCCTTAGAAAACCATAAACTGCTCATACCATGCTGCTGCTCATCAATGGATAACAGGCTTTAGAGGATGAGCTCTTAGTTTTGACAAATCAAGGTTGGCATCCAGTTCTTCATCAAGTTCCCCCACAATGCTTCTGCAAATGGAGAAATCAACATCAATGAAATCCAATTTTGCAGTAACAGAGATGAGTATAGTAATAGTAGTTACCATCAAAATAACAGGAGTTGCAATATAACCCTTACATGTTGTCACCTCTTATGATGTATAGGCCTAACACAAGTTGCTGGACACCTTCCTGCAAAACAGAGTAATCATCAACATTATTCCTATGATTACTTTCCGGAGCAATGAGAATATCTGAATGATGAAAATCAAAATAAGATAAAATGCATTTATGGTCTACTCATTAAGAGGAGAAAAGTGTTAACATATTATATTAGCCGAAAGTTTCACTAAGGTCTGTCTGTAATCATTTTGTGCCCTCAGGGATTATCTTATAATTGACTTTCTTGTAAACCCTAATCTTCATTTATAAATAGGGGGTGATATTCTATCATACCCCTAAGCTGGTTACTCAAGCTTCATGGTATCAGAGCAGAACCTCTAGGGTTTCAGCTCACCCTCGTTGGTAGACCTTTACACCAACGACACTCTAGGGTTTGGAAGCTTACCTGGGTGGATCATCACTCAGCCGTCAGCTCGTCTTCCTCGCCTTCCTCTGTCGTCTCCCTCACCTCGTCAGCTCGTCTTCCTCACCTCGTCGATCTCCTCACCTCGTCTTCCTCGCCTTCCTCTGTCGTCTCCCTCACCTCGTCGATCTCCTCGACTTCCTCTGTCGATCGTCACTCGTCGTCGTCTTCCTCAGCCTCTGTCTCACTGTGGTATGATCTCAACCTTGGTATATATAAATATATATATATATATATCCTGATATATATATAAATATAGCCTGTTATATATATTTATATATAAATACATGTATACATAAATAAATCAATATATATATAATAAAAAAAAAAAACAAACAAACAAACAAACAAACAAAAAGAAAAAAACAAAACAAAACAAAAATGGTTTCTTAATTTTGTTATGTCTTTATAGTGGTCATTGTGCCTGTTATCTCACTACCACCTTCCGGGTTTGTGATTTTCACTAGTTTGTTGCGGGTTTGGTAGTATTGTATTCATGACAGATTCCATCAGTGTGTCCTCTTCTTCTCAAACACCAAAGAGTGAGAGTCCCATTCTACCTACTACCATGACTGAGAACCCCAACCCTAGTCTGAAAATCACCACCTCTCTATTTAATGGTCAGAACTACCTAGCATGGTCTCAAAGTTTGACTATGTTTTTGAAAAGCAGAGGGAAAATGGGGTATGTTGATGGCAAGATACAAGCACCTAGTACCACTGACTCAGGTTATGACCAATGGGAGATTACCAACTCTTTGATTATGAGTTGGTTTATCCATTCGATGGTTCCAGAACTTGGTGAGGGCTACTTGTCTATGGAGACTGCCCAGGACGTTTGGGAGGCTGTGGCTGTTACCTATTCCCACCAAGGAAATTTTTCACAAGCATTTGAGTTGCGCCGATCTATTGAGAGCTCACTTCAGGGGGAGCAGACTGTTCTTCAGTACTTCACTTTCCTCACCAACGGCTGGAAACGCCTTGACCACCTGGAAGACTATAAGCCCGTTTGCCCTGCTGATTCTGTCGGGTACAAGAAGTTCATCGCACGGGAACGGGTCTTTAAATTTTTGGCCGGCCTAAATGTGGAGTATGATCCAGTTAGGGGTCGAGTTCTGAGTATGGACACTCTTCCTTCACTACAGGAGGCATTTGCCTATGTACAAAATGAGGAGAGTCGCCGGCCTCCGCACCAGTTATCTCTCTTGTTGACTCGTTGAGGTCGAGAAAGAAAGTAAGCAGAGGGCGGGACGAAGAAGCCATTTTCTCTCGCAACAGAGTGTTACAGACTCTCTCTCTCAGCACAACGGTGTTACAGCCTCTCTCTCTCAGCACAACGAAGAGTTTTACAGAGGATTTCGCAGGGTTTTTTGCTTCTGCCTCAGCCTCAGCCTTCGTCTTGGTTATATAGCCAAGGCAGACACGCGCATCCTGCGCCGCTCGGCGCTCGCCGACAACCTGGCACGCCTTTTCATGGCACGCCTTTTGATGCATTTGGGCACGCCTTTTGATGGCACGCCTTTTGAAA